CTGAGATATCACCATATGCTGCACACGAGACTTTTACCAACGTTAATAAAAGCAAGAAGACAAAAAAAAAAAACACACACACACACACACACACATAAAACAAATGTCTGCACTAATCCTGAGGATATCTAATAGTCCAGAAAGAAAGAGAATGACGAAGGATGGCCAACCGACGTAAGACCTTGAAGCCCACTTGTCTGACCAAGTGAAGTTGTTCAGGCCAAAACCAACAAAACCAAAGCCGGCCAAGCCACGAGAAGGACAACAAGAACTAGATGTATGTATATAAAAAAAGTGCGTTTAATAATTATCTCAATAGAAAGTTTCATTGAAATCAGGGCATTAAAAATTAATGAAGTCAGATTCGAAAAAAAAAGTTGGAGGAGCATGCGAGTAAGGAAGGAGACCGACTTAAAAATCTATAAGTAAATGTTAAGCCTTATGTTATTATGGAAATTAATGATATAATATTGCTAAAGTAATTAATATTATTAAAATTTTCTTAGATTAGAAAGTGTGAAAAAATCCATTAAATTCTGGGGATTTGAAGAAGGGTGGAGCAAGACATTCAAGAGGGATGAGGTAAAGATTTGCAAGTTTTATGTATTGATTCTATAAATTAGTTAATGGTGTTAATTTCATTTCAACAATTTTTATGAATTAATTTTAATAATTTTAATTTATCAAAGAGTTGAATTAAAATACGATAGAGAGACTAAAATGCTAAGAGAAGTTCACTGAAGTAAAAGGGATACTCTATTCCAGAGGTGTTTTGAAAGCAAATGTGAGTGATTATTTTCTTTTATACATTAAATAAACATTTTATTAAATGAATAAATGTTTTATTAAATGGTTAAAAGCAAGTATTTCATTAATGTCTGGCATTGTGAAAGTCTCATATGATATTACAATTGGGAGGAAATATATACCATATGAAGTTACATTTTATATGATTTTAATTGATATGAAATGTCAATTAAAGAATAAGTCATATAGGATTCCCCCCATATGATACTGTCAAATGATGCAAAGTATCTATGCATGTTAAAGAAAATGGTAAAGGTGTACTTTCGAGTACAATTTAAAAATACCTTCAAGTACAATCTTGAGAGTGTCTTCAGACACATTTTTAATGATAACTTCGAGTATGAAGGTAATATTGTGTTGACTATTAAAGAGATTAAAATAACAATTACTTAAAGTAAAACGGGAAAGAAAAAATTAAGGTGAAACTTCAAGGTTTTATAAAGAAATAAGTTGAAACGGGTCGATTTGTGACATCAGATCCCTATGATCGAAGGCGACACTGATAAATTTTTTACTACTAAATGAAGTTTTTGATGCGGGATACAAGGAGGCGTTGATCAACACCCTTAGGAGACACTGAGACGTTTTTGTCTGGTTTATCGTTGAGTTGCTCAGAATATTAATCAATGTCGTATGTCATAGCCTGAACGACAACCGAGCGGCCTGACCAATAAAGCAGAAGATGTGGACATTGACGGTCACTCTAATAGAGCGGATCTGAGGAGAGGTCTAGAAGCTACTAAATGGGGACTACATTTGGGAGGTCTACTATCCGGCGTGGGTGTTCAACATTATTATGGTGCAAAAGTCAAAAGGCAAGTGAAGGATGAGCGTGAACTTCACCAATATGAACATGCTTGCCCAAAGGACAGATACCCTCTGTTGGGGATCGACGTGCTTCTAAACGAGAAGCTTGACCAATCTATGATGAGCTTCCTCGACTCCTTCAAATATCACCAGATTAAGATGCACCCGACCGACGCTGAGAAGACTGCAGTCATCATAAGTGAGGGAATGTATTGATATAATATAATGTTATTTGGGCTTAAAAATATTGACACAACTTATCAACAAAAGAAGAATGTAATTTTGCAAAATAGAGAAGAAAACATGTTGAGGTATATGTAGATATCCTGGCAAAAAGTAAAACGCCCGAGCAACAAATGAAATACCTAAAAGAAACCTTCGAAACTTTTAAAAAAAAAATTAAAATGAAGCTCAATCCGCTCAAATGCACTTTTGAAGCATCCACAAGCAAATTCTTAGGTTATCTCCTAACCGTGGAGGGAATAAAAGCTAACCCAGAAAAGGTCCAAGCGCTGATCAACATGTCGTCCCCCCAAAAAACCAAAGAAGTTCAAAAACTGACCAGTCGAATCTCAAGTCTGAGCCAATTCATCTCAAAGTAGGGCGATAAATGCACTGCTTTTTCAAAACCCCGAGGCGGTGAAAATATGAGCAGGCATTCAAAAATCTAAAAGACTCTCTAGCATGACCGCCGCTACTTCAAAGTCCAAAGCCAACCAAATAATTTTTCATATACTTGGGGGGTTGGATTTGAACCTATTAACTCGATTTTAATGCTAGAAGAGCGAGTAAAGTAGTTCCCGACTTACTATATCAGTCGAGTCCTCTGAAGCACCAGGCTTAGGTATATGAATATATTTTCTCTTATTATTCTATCTGCAGGCTTCGCACATATTTCCAAACACATCCAGTCAGGATAATTGCTGACCACCCGCTCAAATCTATCTTTATTAGACCAAAATACTCCGATC